CCTGAATATGTGCTTATATCAGCAGAAATATAATTGCAAGTACACTTATATTTAATAATTTTCTATGGAAATTCAGAAGCTGAAATCTGAGCATTTAATTTAACTTTTTATTTTTTGTTCCATCCTGAATCCAGTCTGTTTTACAGGTGTGATTTATGTCTTTTAATCAATTATGCATATTCCAAAATATTATAAACGTGGCCAAAAAAAAAAAAATCACATGATGTGCTGTCCTTGTCTTGATCTGTTCACATTCTGTTGTTTTCTTCCCTACTGTAGTTTCTCCTGCTAGAAAATGTGTTATTGACATAAATGTTATGTTCAGAGACAATCAACCCCATCACTGGCAGATTTAATACCACATATTTGGTGGTGCCTGTTTATTACCTGGTTTCCTGCTGGCCTGTTATTCTGGTCTTCCTGTATAAAGTCCACAATATAAATTGTCCATTTGTTCCATGTGGCAAATGTGAAACATAAAACATCTAGATCTCCCTTAACAACGCTTCAGCAAACATCACATGCAGAACACCATTCTTTTGAATAAATTATGCCTTTGCCATTCTTTAAACCAGTTTTCTTGAAAAAAAATCTGTCTTTGTGAAACCACATCTTTACCAGTAAGTCTGGTAATCATGAATTAGAGAAAACAAAAACCTTATCAGATTTTTAACACACTGGTTTTCTGTGAGCAGAATGTTTATTGGCTAATAATTTGCCCTTCCAGAGCAGCTGGTATTCAGTGAGACTAGTAGATTTTGCCAGGAGTTTGCTATGCAGCAGGAGAGCGAGCCCTGGAATTATTCTCTTCACACGGGAACCACTGGATGCATCCAGGCTTTTTTCATGTCTTATCTGACCTTTAGTCTGTTGTCTTCTCCTCTGTCCTGTTACGCAGGTAACTGATCATATCCCCGGCTGCCAGGTTACAGCTGTTGCCAAGACACAAATTGAGCTAGACATATATAAGTGGTTTTCCCCCACTATTACTCGAAAGCAAAGATAATGCAAAACAGAAAAAGGAGATTTATAAAGAACTTCATTGTTCTAAGTAGTTGGCTGGGTTAACTGCGATTTTATTAGCAGGCAGGATCATAGAAGTAAATGTATCATAGGCAAAGTATGAGTTGTAGTATATACAGTACCTCTGTTATCTAACAAGATAACTCTTGTATTTAGATATCTCACAACAACAACAACAATAATACCAGAGCAGCTGGTATTCAGTGAGACTAGTAGATTTTGCCAGCAGTTGCTATGCAGCGGGAGAGCGAGCCCTGGAATTATTCTCTTCACACGGGAACCACTGGATGCATCCAGGCTTTTTTCATGTCTTATCTGACCTTTAGTCTGTGGTCTTCTCCTCTGTCCTGTTACGCAGGTAACTGATCATATCCCCGGCTGCCAGGTTACAGCTGTTGCCAAGACACAAATTGAGCTAGACATATATAAGTGGTTTTCCCCCACTATTACTCGAAAGCAAAGATAATGCAAAACAGAAAAAGGAGATTTATAAAGAACTTCATTGTTCTAAGTAGTTGGCTGGGTTAACTGCGATTTTATTAGCAGGCAGGATCATAGAAGTAAATGTATCATAGGCAACAACTAAATATTAATAATGTAAGTGTTTAGAGTGCAGAAGTTAACCATAAATGTGGTAGCAAAGTATGAGTTGTAGTATATACAGTACCTCTGTTATCTAACAAGATAACTCTTGTATTTAGATATCTCACAACAACAACAACAATAATAATAATAATAATAATAATACAGTTGTTAAAACTTTTAAGGAATATTTAACAGTAAACCTTATGTGACATGTTTTATTTGCCAGAAAATAAAAGAAATTGTTAAATGATTCATTAAATTGTTAGTGTTAGTGTACCATCATTTTTGTTAATAAATTAATATTAAGTCATTAATAAAGAAATATTAAAATGGGGGGAAACAGTATTTGGGGAAGAAAACAAATTCATAGGGCCTTAAATATTTGATAATATTTCATAAACACAATTCTCGGTGTAATTAGTTATGGGTTTAGTGTGTCTTAGACTCATGTAGTTGACGGATATGTCAGATATCTGTCTCTGAGGCAAGTGTTTTAAATTGTGTAGGTAATGTAAATGCGTTTAATAAAATAAAACAAACAAACAAATAAAATATCTAGAAAACCCTGAACATGAATAAAACACTCCAGGGGTGGGGAGAAAAAAAAAGTTGTGGATTTTTGTAATAGTTTAATTGAACTATAATTTAATTGAAATATAAATCTTAAATGTAATCTAAATTTAAATTTAATTCAATAATTTAATTGTTCAGATTCTAAATGTTTAATTTATTAATTTTTGGACTCCACACTATTTTATACTTAAAATAAATGACCTTATTAAAAATACTGCCGCTAAATAATAACAATGATAATAATAACAAACAAACAAAAAAAATAAACAAACAAATACATACACACACACACACACACACACACTCATACACGCAAACATATATACTAAAGACCCAATGAAATGACAAGTACAGTTTTCATTTCTGTGTAGATGTATTTCCTGTTGAGACAGGAACAGGAACGTCACATATCAAAGTGCTTATCCCTTTTTTAAATGGTTAGTAGTTCAGCGGTGAACCACAATTTGCTACTTTATATTGGTAATTGTTGGCAACCAGTATTAGGGGAGGGGCATTCTCATTCTAGAGGGGACATTTATTTGGACGAAATTTGTATAATCCTTTGAGTGCAAGATGACAACTCTATTGTAAATTTTAAATACGTACAACTGCTAAATAAAGGTTTACAATGTTTGATTACGCTAGTGGATTTAAAAAAAAAAAGTCTGATTTTGATTTAATTGGCTCTTTAATTTCTGACATCAGAGCTGGTAAGTCTGAAAGTTGATGAGTAACCCTGCCCTAAACTGCAGCAGGTAAGATAAAGATTAGGCTTATCAAATTGCACAGCAGCAATCTGAGGTACTTGAGGCAGACACACATCCTGGCAATCTTATCAGTCCAAGATCTGCCATTAGCTTTCACCTCTTAATCTTCATTTACATTAAACTTTTTTTTTTGTCATGCACACAAATGACACGTGTTTATGCTATCAACAAACCACAATGTGCTATACTATCTACCCCTTATTTAGGACTTGTTTCTTTGCCCATGTTTGTGTTTGTCTACAACTGGCGATGCTGGGTGCTTTGTTTCTT